AGGGGGAAGGAGGCCGCCATCTTGGAACCGGGCAAAGGAGAGGCCGGGCGGAAGGCTGGGGGCGGCCATCTTGGAGCCGGGAAAAGCCTAGGAGGGCGGGAACGGCCTAAATGCTTGGTACTTTATAACCCTGGCTGCGAAACGCGCAGCCTCCGCTTCAAAATCGCCTCGGGAGCTACGAGAAATCACAAGTGTGATTTCACGTTGCAGCACAAGCGCACTCGCCGTGAGCATCGCGCCTGGTAACGGCTGCACCAACGCAGGTTCGGGAGGGCCCTTTTATTAGTAAAAGGAAAGAAAGACAGACAGAAAGAAGGAAAGAAATGAAAGAAAACAACCCCCTTTTTGAACGTCAGCTGCTGGTCTGCCTCATCCAAGTTCTGCTCCGATTCTGTTTTACGTCCGCGGCAGAGCTGCGATGCGAGAGCCACAGGATATGGGCAGCCAGGTGGGAGCTTTGCCAGCAGCGACCCTTCCCCTGGGGTCAACAAACACCAAGGCACCGACTGGATGGAGTGAGGCCAGCAGAAGGCTGCAAAAATGGTCAGGGATGAGAGCGCGAGGGGTAAGGTGAGGATTTCTCAGCCTTAAAAAAGAGAAAGGCTCTGTGAGGACCTTGCTGCTGTCTACAGCGACTTTGCCAGAGGATACAGAGAAGGCAGAGGGAAGTGGTTCTCAGAATTCCTCACAGAGAGGGTGCTCAGGCACTGGGATGCACTGCCCAGGGAAGTGGTGGAGTCACCGTCCCTGGAGGGATTTAAGGAGAGGCTGGATGTGGCACTTAGTGCCATGGTCTTGCTGTTGCAATGCTTGCTGTTGAGTCATAGGCTGGACTTGACCTGAGAGGTCTTTACCAGCCTCAACATTTTTGTGATTCTGTAATTGCACAGCAATAGGCAAAGGTTAGAACATGTGGAATTCTATTTATAGATAGGATTTTTTAATGTTTTGGTTTGTTTTTTTTTAATCCATGGTGGTGGTCATATAACTGGAAAAGGTTGCCCTAAGAGGCTGTGGAACCTGTCTTTGGAGTCATTCAAGACTCAACTGTATACTAGCTGAGGAACCTGATCAAACTAGACATGCTTTGAGAAAGGACCTCTGGAGGTCCTCTTCAACCTCAAGTATTCTGTGGGTCTATGAAAAATTCAAGTATTCCGTTTTCCATGATAAACATTTAACTGAGGATCAATTATGTTGCATTCCTGTGTTCATTCATTGCATTATATTTATGTTTGAGCTGACTAGTGTGCAGTTGCACCAGGTTAGTGCCCTGCTCTGAACAGCCTGCCTGTTCAGAGCAGCAATTAACAAACCTAAAGCATTTCTGTGCATCACTGCAGTAACAGCAAAATTCAAAGTATTAACAAATACTGACTTACAACTCAGCTGTATCTCACAATCAGTTCTAGTGTATTGTTAATGGTATTTCAAGCAGATTGTCTGTAAAAGTTCATCTTTACTTTCAGCTTTTTAGTGGAAAATATTCACAAGCATGCATGCAGTGTACTCGACACTTTATACAAGACACTGATATAATCAACAATTTATACAGTCACCAGTCGCATAGGTAGCTTTCAGTGGTGTTTTCAGCCTTATTTTAAATTATTAAAAATTCTCTTCCATAGAAGAAAAAGCAGTTTTCCGTCTCCTCTTT